TTAGAGTTGTCTTTCTTGTTTCATAAAATAGGTAATACAGTGTTAAACCTCAATTCTATTCACAGATGATGTATAACAAAATATTACATATAAAAATATAAAACAACCAGTATATTGACAGAGCAGGACATTTATTGCTTTTCATCTTGGCAGCTGCTGCAATATATTAATGTCTTCATTTATGAATTATGAACTAAAAAACTAACATCAAACTGAAGACAACTGCTAGTGTCTATTTAAGTATTGTTCTTTGATGTTCAGAAAGTAGTTAACCTGTTCTATCATACACACTTTTTACAATATGTTAGATTACTGAGACAAACAGCCTAATATCTACAAATCTACCTATATCTTAATTGACCATAATGACCATCATGATGACCTGCATTGACCTATGTTTTCTTACAGGGATACTGCTGGACAAGAACGATTTGAATCCATTACAAAACAGTTCTACAGACGTGCACAGGTAATTTTTACATAGAAAGCTTGACTAAGGATGTGTTGGAAAAAGTATGTATATATCCAGTTGGTAAATAGGCAATCAGGACCCAGATTTTACAATTCTTTGTAATAATTTTTAAATTGTATGTTTATGTGAACAGTTAATAATATGTCATTCTTTACTGTCTATGAATTTGTAATCATGCAAATGCTCAACAATATTCTTATCTAGATTCATATTATTTCATTACCAGAAAAAACTCTTTCTAAACATTGATTTTGTATGTCATCTATGAGTTTCATGTGCAAACTGGAACTCTGAATCCTTGAACTGACATTGTACAAGGATCTCTGTATTTTATATACTGCTACATAATTAAATTCTTACGATAGAAAACATTTATTAATGATCACATTAATTTAGCTGCAATATAGAAATGATCCCAATTAAGATATTTGTTCCTTTTCTGTACGTAATGACAGAGAATTTATGCATAACAAACACACAAATGACCTTCATGAATGTCCTCTAAAGCTAATTACTTTGTAGGAGTTTTGACTATTGGAATCATTGCCTAAACTCATTACTAAATAGGAATATGAGTATTGGAATCAAGAGAATAGGAATTGACAACATTTCAAATAAAAAAAGCGTGTTGATCCGCAGTTGTTTCATTGAATATTTTGATTGATTTCAGGGTGTTTTACTAGTGTACGACATGTCTAGTAGATCCTCATTTGAAGCTATACCAAAGTGGCTGGCCTATGTAGAACAGGTATTTGTACATAAGATATATGCATGTAACAAAATATTTACTATAACAAGAATGTGTCCATAGTACACGGATGCCCCACTTACATGTTCATTGGACCGTGAATCTGGGGTCAAAACACTAATTTGGCATTAAAATTAGAAAGATCATATCATAGGAAACATGTGTACTAAGTTTCAAGTTGATTGGACTTCAACTTCATCAAAAACTACCTTGACCAAAAACTTTAACCTGAAGCGACCAAAAACTTTAACCTGAAGTGGGACGAACGGACGAACGAACGGACGCACAGACCGAAAAACATAATGCCCCTAGGTTGGGCATAAAAAAAAATATATAATAGATTAATCTAAAGTCAGAAGGTCATTAAGTACCTTAATGGTCTAAGGATTAAGTTAGGACAAAAATCGTATGAAATTTGCTTCAAAATAGAAAGTCTTAATTGCTAGGTATTTCAGTTATTATAAATAATTCAGAGATTTTGGGTCAATAGATTAGAAAACTTTGATTTGAAAAATAGTAAAAAACTGCTTTTTTGGGAATTGAAAAAAAATATTAAAAAAAAGTGCTACATGACCAGTTGTTCACATAGATATACACAGAGAAAAGGTATCTTTTTTGGTTATCCTATGCATTCTATTTTTGAGAGTATTAAAACTGTTTGACAATGAATCAAATATGAAATAAATGTAAGCAGTTAAAATAGCCAAGTATAAAGTTTTTTTCAGATTTTGCTTTCAAGAAAATTATTACCAGTAGATTATATTAAATGTATGAATTTTCGGAAAAGTCTTATTCAACTTATTACTTTTGGGCACATTTTTTTTCACTAGTTTTGTAAAGAAGATGTAAGTGTGATGTTACTAGGAAATAAATGTGATAGAGAGGACAGAAGACAAGTCACAACAAAAGAAGCTAGTCAAGTAAGTTACTCTACATAAATATGATAGAGAGGACAGAAGACAAGTCACAACCAAAGAAGCTAGTCAAGTAAGTTACTCTTTACATAAATGTGATAGAGAGGACAGAAGACCAGTCACAACCAAAGAAGCTAGTCAAGTAAGTTTCTCTTTACATAAATGTGATAGAGAGGACAGAAGACAAGTCACAACCAAAGAAGCTAGTCAAGTAAGTTACTCTTTACATAAATGTGATAGAGAGGACAGAAGACAAGTCACAACCAAAGAAGCTAGTTAAGTAAGTTACTTTCTACATAAATGTGATAGAGAGGACAGCTGACAAGTCACAAAAAAAAAGAAGCTGGTCAAGTAAGTTGCTCTCTACAAAATATGACTTTTGATATTCCTGCTATACATTCTTTATTCATTTTCTAGCACTAAGCAATATATTCCATATTTTACCACAAGGTCGTTGAAAAGACCAGGATGTAAGGGAAAAATTTATATTATGACTCCAGTAAACCAGTTAAATGTTGCAAATTTTTCAAAGGTCTATTTTGATTTACCTGTTATAGTGTTGTCAAAAATTCTAGATATTCTCATTAATAGGTAAATATTATCAGCTTTACTGCACTTTTAATTGTTGTCACACAAACAATGTAAACCTTTGATATGAGCAAGCGCAACAAATTAGCTGAAAAGCTTCACATTGTGTCAAGATGCTGATATTTTACAATATCTATACTAAGAAAACCCAATAATCAGTATATCATACTAATTCTGGAATTTTTTGGTCTCCCTCAGATATATTTTAAGTGAGTTTGATGATATAAAATACTGCTATCATGTTGTGCCAGTATATGTTCTTCTCTCACATTATGATGTTCCTGATAAGTTCTGCTTTAACGCCATGAAGCCATGATACAAGAGAACTAGAAAGTAGAGATGGGCAATATAAGCACAGGAAGTACAATAAAATTATTTTCGATGTTCTTGTTATATTTATTATTGTTATATGATTTATAATTACAGAAAATATGATTTTTATTCTTTTTTTTTCAGTTTGCCAAAGACCATGGGATAATGTTCAGTGAAACCAGTGCTAAAAATAGTAACAATCTAGAGAAGGTAAGAAAGTAATACAGATAAGTTTGCATGTAGTTTTAGCCCATCTGCAAATCTATCTGTATTATTGTTGTTTGGCATTTATTCATCCAATTAAATTGAGAATGGAAATGGGGAATGTGTCATAGAGACAACAACCCGACCAAAGAGCAGAAAACAGCCCAAGGCCACCAATGGGTCTATAAACATATTTCCTATTTGTAATTTTGCCTCTTAAGCTGATTTTCTACCTGAACTAACCTTGGAAAGAATAATATATGGTAGGTCATTTAAAGAAATTACTCTTTTTGTTCTTTTTTGGTGAAAACATAGCCACCAATTTTGATAGGCCATTCTGCAAACAGAATTTCAATAATGCAATAAAGGTTTCAAATGAACCAAATTTTCATCCTCTTTTCTGAAAATACTCTGTAGTATGGACTAGTAAGTCAGACTCTTTTATCTACAGTAATTTTTTCACTCAGACCAATTAAAAAAAACCACTTTGCAGTCAAATGCAATACATTTGTATAAAGATAAGGAGATGTGAAATGAAGTGGAAGAAAGTCAGTTTTCAAATTTCTAACTCTCTGAAAATACAAATCATTATCTTTTCAATTTGAAAATAATTTATAAAGTCAAGAATCATTCAAGCCAATTTAATACCCCTTGCAAAGCAAATTCATCTACCAAGGGATGGTTTACAAAAAACTTAATATTGCTTGCACATTTGGCACTGATCAGATGGTAAATATTGCAGCATTTGATACATATAGATTCTACCACTGCATCGAGTGTGATACGATATTTATCCACTCAAGACAGTTAAATTTTCAAATTTAAAACGCAAGGCTCGCCGAGCGTTTTAAATATTTAAAATTTAACTGTCGAGAGTGGACAAATATCGTATTACACGAGATTTGGTGGTGGAATCTGTTTCTCTAATGATTTTCAAACAATACACAGGCAAATTTATTCTTTCTTTTCGAATGATCTGCAAAAAGATGTGTTCTTTCTATGTGACGTCATCAGGCATGGTCGCCTTTTTTCATGCCGTCACAATAGGAAATTCAGAGGAAAGCAAGAAAATTCGACGTCATAATCGGATTTTAACCAATGAAGAACTGAGATCAAACGAACCACACACGTTGATTAAATTTTTTTTATACAATGGGCGCAGAAAGGGATAAATTGACGAAGAATTAGAGAAATAATGATAAATCATTTTCCATCCTATTCTCTAAAACTAAGTTGACAGATGTCAGTTAGGTTACAAATGTATTTCCACATAAGCTAGAATTGGCAGGAGTAATGTTTAGAATATATTTTACTAAACATTCTCTTTTGATGCAATTAGCAGAAATATAATACCACAAGAAAAAACTCTTGCATCACATTGTACCCTACCAAATTATGTTTCATTTAAAAATCTTACTTTCCATAGAACTTCTAGTTATTTAAATGAAATGAATATTTTTCAGGTCCATTGGACTTGCAACATAAAGTAAAATATTCAATGTCTCGGTCCTATATATTTTGAAATCTGTGTTTATATACTTTAGTTTTCAGTATAAGATTAGAGATTAGATTTTATAGAACTCAAAATAGTTTATTTTATTTCCAACTAGCTAGAATTTGTGGTAGATTAAGATTTCATCAATCATAATAGTTATCTCTAAATACACATATGAAAAATGCCTGTTCTACGTCTGGAACCTCATAAGTGGTTACCTGTGATAAAATCTTAATATTTCGTCCTTTTTGGAGTTTTTGGTGTTTATGACAAACCTTTGTAGTTTATTATACCCCCGCTTTAAAAAAGGGGGGGAGTATACTGTTTTACCTCTGTCTGTCCTTCCGTCAGTCCATCTGTCCGTCCCATGAATATTTTCGTCACATTTTTCTCAGGAACTGCTTGACAAGGATTTCTGAAATTTGGTTTCAGGGTTTATATAAGTAAGTTACACCGTGTGATGCGTTTTCAGATTCATCACTCAACAACTTCCTGTTTACCGAACACTTGTATTATTTTACACATGATAGCCAAGTTGAAAATTTTTGTAACATTTTTCTCAGGAACTACTTGACAAGGATTTCTGAAATTTGGTTTCAGGGTTTATATAAGTAAGTTACACCGTGTGATGCGTTTTCAGATTCATCGCTCAACAACTTCCTGTTTACCGAACACTTGTATTATTTTACACATGATAGCCAAGTTGAAAATTTTTGTAACATTTTTCTCAGGAACTACATGACAAGGATTTCTGAAATTTGGTTTCAGGGTTAATATAAGTAAGTTACACCGTGTGATGCGTTTTCAGATTCATCGCTCAACAACTTCCTGTTTACCAAACACTTGTATTATTTTACACATGATAGCCAAGTTGAAAATTTTCGTCACATTTTTCTCAGGAACTGCTTGACAAGGATTTCTGAAATTTGGTTTCAGGGTTTATATAAGTAAGTTACACCGTGTGATGCGTTTTCAGATTCACTGAACAACTTCCTGTTTACCCAACACTTGTATTATTTTACACATGATAGCCAAGTTGAAAATTTTCGTCACATTTTTCTCAGGAACTACTTGACAAGGATTTCTGAAATTTGGTTTCAGGGTTTATATAAGTCAGCTATACCGTGTGATGCGTTTTCAGATTCATCACTCAACAACTTCCTGTTTTACCGAAATATTTCGGCAGGGGTATCATCAGTGAGCAGTAGCTCACAGTTTTACTTGTTATTAACTGAATTCATGACTTCTATAACGGCTAGGCAACTTAGAGCTGGTCATATTTAGAGACGGTCGGTCTATTATTGAAGATTTTATGTTGCCCTCTAAATTATGCTTTATGGGTCCACTGTGTTATGGTTTGCTAGCATGTTGCATTGCACGATGAATACGCTGATAAAATATATTTATATTGTTTTACAGGCATTTCTAGATATGTGTACAGACATCATAGAATCACAAGAACAGCAAGCAGCTGAGACTAGATCCAGTATAAGTTTAGATGAAGATTCTTCTCACTTTGATAGTCATTCTGATTCATCACAGCTCCTATCTGGTGGTGGACGTAAGAGGTGCTGCTGAAAAATAACATTGGCTCAATACAGAATGTTTCTGACAGAGGATATTGATAATTGCTTAAAGACTGTTTGAAGTAAAATCATAACAAAATAATAATTTTGAATGAAAAACCAGATATTGAAATAACTGTTATTTTATGTCATTCCATTTACTTGTTTTCTTAGAGGCTGTGTTTTGTTAAGTTTTTTGAATGAATTGATTAATCATAATTAAAAAGTCATAGATTATTTAAATTCATTGAAATCCATATTTTGATTCTGCTACTAACAATCAGTCTCTTAAAACCAAATATTCATTGTGTGTTCTTGCCTTATACCATTTTTTTTTTATATATAATACTCAAATTAAAAAGACACAAAAAGACAGACCAAGTTTGGTCAGGGGATAAAGAACTTTACTGTTGCAGTATTTTGGGTAAAACAAGGAATAAAAGTTGGCTTTATTTAAATTATTGTTAAAACGTTAAAAAAAAGTTGATTAAGAAAGATTATTAGATGTAAGTTAGGACTAGATTTTGGATGTTGAAATTACAAATATGAAAATAATGGTCCAAACTTATATTAATTTTTTGAATTAAATAAAATTTAAGCAAGTGAAATGTAATTACATCTAGAAAAAGATAGCTGTCCAGATATAAAGAATTTTTTTTTTTTACCTATGTATAATTTATTCATGTAAAATGAGTAAAATTATCATAAATTATCCGTATAGGTATAGATCTCTATTCAAATCAAAATCATATGATAATGTATTGATTACAATTATATTCATATTTTTACCAGACCCTCTGTAAAACATTATTGGAGTATATGTATAAGAATGTCATTATTCTGAGACTAGTCTTTATTTACTAAAAGGGGAGCATTACTAAAGGGTAGGATTGCTATATATCTACGAAAAAGATTTTTGTATATTAATGAAAATTCCCATGATATGGCCAGTGTTATAAGGATACAGGGACAAGGAAATTGTGATTTATAAAAAAAAATCTCCCTACACTTTAAGTTGATTGCTTTATTTTAATGCTTTCCATTTCACAGTAGCTTAAAATTAACAATGTTGTTGATAACACCTATGGCGGTAATAATAATAAAAAAAACTCTTATTGATAAAAATACTTAAGTCATCTGCTAATTTTTTTCTTCATTAAATGCTTGTTTGATCAAAAGGAATCTGTAGATTAATATTTAATATTGTGTACAAAAATTATCACATTTTTAACCATACTTGTATTTTTGCTGCTTTAGCAGTTGTATGAGTATGTGCCGTTAACAGCATTTCATTTTTGATAAACTTCATTTTTTTATGTGATCAAAAATGAAGTGGATATATATTATATGATCGTTTTTCTGTGTAAAAAAGTGTTCAAAACTTAATTATATAAAATGCTTGAATGTTATTATTCTTACATATCTATAATCAATAATTTCAGTATTAGTAACATCCATGACTGTTTAATCTGGCTTTATTTTTCCTTTTTGGGGTATTTTGTGCTTTTTTGTGTTTGTGGGTTGTTTTTTTTAACAAAAAGTCTTGTTTTTTACATAGACTCATTATACTTATTTCATAAATTTTCTTGTTGAGCAGATGAATATTTTATCACTTTATATTAATTTTATATGTACAACTAGTTACAATTTAATGGCAATAATATATAGTTTTCAGATAAGTACCATGAAAGTTAAATTTTGTCCATTCAGGATTTAGGGTAACCAGGGGATATGAAAGTTATCCATTCTGATTAGTGATGTCATGTCTTAAAATATAATTTTTTGTGCATCTTGATAAGTGCCTACGCAAAGTTCAAAGTTTTCAGAATATGTGGATATTAATTTTTTTTTAAATTCTTTAATGTTAAACACTTCTGTTTATCCTTATTCTTAAAAAGTTTCCTATTTTATATTCTGTTGCATTAAGATTTAATATAGGTTATGTACAGTTAATTACAGATGTTAGTTATTCATTGTTTTCCTTTGCATAAGGAAGATGTGAACTGAAAATTTGTGTTTCCTGAAGGCACCTTCCGACCACCCTTTTTTCTGAGGGTATATGAATCTTCATACTTATGTATATCTTCAAATAATTCCTTTGTCATTGCTGAAAATGAAATATTGGAGAAATTTTAGTTTTCCGTATTGACCATAGAGAACAGCAGTAACAGATTTTTGATATTTTTAAAAAGCAAGAACCAAGTTTTAACAATTGTGTCATTATTAAACCCTAACGAATGATGTTATTTAAGAGATTATTAATGACTGTTCCATAAAAAAACATACAGGGGGCTCAGGATAGGCACTTTGAAATATCAACTAAGGGCAGGTGTCAAAATACTCTTTGTTACATTGAAATTGTAAATGAAATCTTAAGTTGCCTCTTAAGGTGGTTACTCTATTTTCAAACTGCCTTCATTGGGTACAATTTGTGATTTTTATGGAGCAACATTTAATTGCATTTTAAGCTTTTTGTTTTAAATAAGGGATTTTAAACAGCATGAACATATACAAAGAATTTATTAACATCAGCAGTTTTATTTGCTTCAATCCCCTATCTCGTCCTGAACATACATGAAATATTTGCCACTGGACATTAAGCAACCAACCAACAATCAATCAATCAATCAATCACCTATCAAGTTGTGATGAAATTTGACAAAGTATGATAATTTTTAATGTGGATATTTCATTCACTGTTGAAAAATATGATATAGTGGATTTCAATGGTTTTAGATTTGAAGAAGGGTAATGCTATTAGAACACACTGTTTTGATTAGTATCACTTGGGTAAGTTCTTAGCCAATGATAAATCTAAATAAATATGATGATTTACATCAAATGGAGTAAAAGGGGTATTCCAGGAAAACTGATGTGTAATTAATAGGGAATTTACTTTCCAAGAAATTTTTTGAACCTATAACCATCAATGCATATGCATTATGGGTAGTATTCTCCCTTACTTTCAGTTTTCATGGAAATATCTTTAGGGAACTCTATTGATACATGAACCTGTTTGATGCTGACCATTATTTGATGATGAGTGATATATTTAATATGCATTATATATTATACATATGCTAGTTAAATGTAAACAATATTACGCACAATTGTGATATATTTGCAAATATTTTTCTTGTTTATATTTTATATTATTTATTAGTTATTCATATAATCATATTGTTAAATATACATTCTTATTGTAAAATATACATTCATATTTATTATATACATTATAAAGTGCCTATGACGTGTATACATGATTACTGCAGAACCATGGATTGAAACTCATAAATACAACTAAGCCTACAGATGAAGTATCCAGATCTTAAATTTCCACATGCTTATTTATTTCTTGATGTTCTACTCAAGTTAAACATCATGTAACATGACAAACAGTGATTTGTATTTATGGTAAATGTCACCAAAGAACCAATTTTTCATGGACATATTTTCATGTACCATATTTTATTTAATTTTGTACAACCATACACAAAAACAAACAAAAATGATCAAATAGAAATATAGAGAGTAAATTCATGGTTCTGCAGTGGTGGCTTGTTGCTTGCCTTGTGTATTTTGCAATTTTATTTTTTTATTTGTTATATTAAACTTTACGCAAGTTTCTAATTTAATGATATCAATTGACAGTTTATTGTTAAGTTTTTATTGAAATATTCCAAGAATATGTCTTATTTGTCTTTTTTACAGTTAGTATTGTTTTACAATTAATTTTAGTCAAAAGACTTGCATTTATAAAATCAAATTTTAAGAGAATCAGCATTTTCTCTGGTTATCTAGTCAGTGGGACCATATGATACACCTTATAAGAGCACAATGACTGCCTTTTAATATTTTTTTGTTTTATTATATATCCAGTTGATAGAAAAATTGTTTTTATATTTATTTCTTAGAATTAAAAAAAATCAACTGAAAAAATATCTTTTCATTCACGTTAGAAATATATTATTATCTGACAGAGTCAGTCTTTTTTTTATTAATCAAGTATTTGTATAAATATTTAGGGCAAAACCCTGCAAATTTTTTTGGAATGCCAGTGGACAATTTTCATATTAATTGCACAATTATATATTGTACAAGAAATTTTTATGCCCCCACCGTAGCGGAGGGGGCATTAAGTTTTACCCTTGTCCGTCTGTACGTACGTACGTACATACCAACGTCCCAAAATTGGTTTCCGTTCTCTAACTTTAGTTTGCCTCAACCAAATGTTATGAAACTTATACACAATGCTTATTACCACAAAACACAGATCCGGTTTGAATTTTGGTGGCGTCACTTTAACAGTTCTTGAGTTATGCCCCTTTACAAATGGAAAAAATCGTTTCCGTTCTCCAACTTTAGTTTGCCTCAACCAAATGTTATGAAACCTATACACAATGCCTATTGCCACAAAACACAGATCAAGTTTGAATTTTGGTGACGTCACTTTAACCATTCTAGAGTTATGCCTCTTTATAAATTGAAAAATTGCAAAATTTTTATTTTCTTCTAAATATCAAGTAATTTTTATTAAAATTGGAGTTATCTTCCTTATCCATGATTATAATTGAATCAACTACATTCAATGCTTTATACAATGCAATGTTTAATTTTGACTTCCACTGATAAAACACAGATCAAGTTGAATTTGGGTAGTGTCACTTTAACCATTATTGAGTTATGCCCCTTTATAACTCGAAAGATTGCAAAATTTTTAGTTTCCATTCTGTAACTTAAGTTTGCCCCAACCAAACATTATGAAACCTATACACAATATTCATTACCACAAAACTAAGATCAAGTACAAATTTTTTGTTTCTGTTTTCTAACTTTAGTGCCTCAACCAAATGATATGAAACTTATACACAATGCTTATTACTACATAATACAGATTAAGTACGAAATTTGGTGGCAACACTTTTACCATTCTTGAGTTGTGTCCCTTTATAAACATAAAAATTGCTGAATTTTTCATTTCCGTTCTCTAACTTTATTTTTCCTTGTTTTTGGTGAATTCTAAAAAATGTATTATAAACAATAAAAATAGAAAAAATAGCTCATCACACAAGACCTCAATGATTACTATAAAGATTCAATAGGAAAGAATCTTCAGCTACATAGCATATTGAAATAAAATAAAGTTTGATTTATTTTCTTACAGTAAAATATAACGAATTGGATATTATAATTTATATGAACATGATGAATAGATAGGTATTCTGGACTGGCAAAGGTTATCAATAAATAATTATTTAGACTATAGGGCTATAAGGCTATAATCTTTACAGTTTTTCTATGTGATATTTAAATTGACCCCAATAATTTTTGATAATAGACTTTATTTTGAAAATGATCTTAGCACTAACAAAGATGAAGTCATTTTACTATTGAATACTATTGCTTCAAAATTATGAATTTTTTATGCTTCATTTGAGTTTTTCATATAATTTATAAGTTTATATTTAGAAACACACTGTAAAAAACTAATTTTTTTAGTCAAACGGAACATGCAGTAACAGTCATTATTGGCTAACAAAGTTTTGTAATTATAAGTTCTGCAAGTTTGTGTCATTATTTATTTTAACACAAAACTAAAATGTAAAAAAGTGATTCTAATCTTCAATGAATTTCCTAAATAGTATTCTGTTTTGATTGTTTGAGCTCATTTGAATATGATTAACCCTTCTATGTTTTGACAGTCATTAAGGGAGCTGACAAAGATTGGGATTAAATCAGAAAGCTTGTGATTAAGGACTTTTCATTTTTTTTATCATTCTTTTGGTTAAAGTGATGACTGTCCTATTATTTGTAATATTTGATTACCCCATGATATCAACTTTTCGTATTCACTTTATCTTCCATTTTATCTATCTGTGATGCAACATTATATAAATAACACATAGCTGAGAGGGTGATAGAGCAGATTGTTACCCCGAGAAAACATTGTCAACTGAGGCGAAGCCAAGGTTGACAATGTCTTTTCGAGGGATAACAATCTGCTCTATCACCCTCTCAGATATGTGTTATTTAATTTATTATACTGAATGTTCTGTTATTACTGTCGATTAAATTTCAAATTCAAAGTAATAAACTATGACGTCTTGTACATAACAACCATCCTTATTTAATAAAGCGCACACTTAATCAAGTGTCTCCGTGAAGGGTAATAGAGTATTTGCCATAGGATAGAGTCGTATTT